CTGGGGAATCCTGGGAGTTGAAGTCCACCCATCTTCCAGCGGCCAAGGTTGAGAAGCACTGCGCCAGACGCATACCAGCTGCCTCGTCTACTGAGAGCTCTTTAGCCAGGATCCCACCAATCTTGCTGAAGGAGGGAAGTTGCAAGCCATATTTCTCTAGTTCCCCTTTCATGTGGTTTATTTCTTCATCTAGAATAAAGCAGAGAGAAAGGGAAGGGTTCAATGTGCCACGTCAGGTGGAAGGGTCTGGACTGCCATCCTGCTCCCCCCCAACCTTTCAGGGTCTTCAACCCTATCGATCAATGATTAACAAGTGGAATCCTAGAGGTGGGAGGGGGTTCTTAGGCCATAAGAAACTGGGTTTCTTCATTCATTCGTTCGTTCGTTCGTTCGTTCATTCATTCATTCTCCAAGATCCACAAGTTCTCCTACAGCTTCAGAGTTAGCATAATTCAAATTCGAAGGGCCAAATAAAGGATGTGCCACATAAAATAGAGAGAGAGAACCAGAGCTCCCAACTCTGTGATTCTATCAGAAGAACTCTAAGTCTCCTTCTGGGAAAGTCTTACCTGTAAAGTCAACTTTTCCATACAAATCCTGAATCTGGGGAGCCAGCCCACGCTTGAACAGGTATAAGCTAGGAGGCAGATCAGAAGAACAAGCAAAGAGGAAGATTTGGTTGAACGTGAATCCAACATGAACAGGAAGACTTGGAGACCAGACTTACAAAGCGAGAGACGCCGCCAAAGCAGGAAGTGAAGTCTCCAGATATGGACTGACCGGCAACCAGATGAGAAACCCCGGGGTTTGTGGGGAAGGAGGAGAGAGGTAGCAGCCGTGTAAGGCTTTCACAGGGCCGATGCGAGAATAAAAGACGCTTCTTGATTCTCGTAGTACCTTATGCTACTTAGTTTGCAACACAGGTATGAATCTTTTTTATTCCTTAATCAATCCCAGAACTTTAACGTAACTTTAAGTCTATCTTGGCCTAACCTGTCTCCCAAAACTATTGCAGCTTCTAGAGAGGGATTTATACACTCAAACTCTTTACAATTTTACTCAAAAGAAAGATAAGCCTAAATTTAAAACTCTCTTTCTCCTTAAGAGAGAGTAGAGAGGAACAGTTCATTTGCCTTCCCAGGTCCATTCTCACCTAATCTGACAACCATCTCATTTAAAAGGTAAATTACTGGAGAAAAACAAGTCTTTTATATAAAAAATAATTAATTTTTTAAAAAAGTATTGGCATGTCACATTAGTAAGTAACAAAGAGAACAAAAACCCATAGACCCGGGTCTATGCATTAAAAAGATAGGATATATAGGATCAAGTAGATAAGTCTTTGCAGTTATTCTGAAAGACTGTGACAATGTTTTTATCTTCTAGCTTTTTTTATTATATGAAAGGCCTACATCAGTAGGAAAATACAACCGATCCAATTATTTCCCAATAATTAGTTGATGTACTATCTTGAGCGTCCTCAACAGATAGCAGCAGCTAGTAAACCTTGGTTGTCCTCGAAAAAGCTAAGCATGGTTGGCAAATCCTTGGATGGCGGACCACAAAGAAACCGCATGGCCTAAGGCAAGGCTGAGAAGCTGGAAACCTCCCCAGAAGACATCAGAAAGCTGTCTCCATACGGCTCCCACGAACTCCACAGATGTGTAATTCCTCCTGAGCTCAACCTTGGGGAATTGATGGCCCTTCCTCAAAGGGGAATTTCCATTTCGGGGCCCCTGGCATGCTGCCCTGGCAGGACTGCGTGCCCCCAGGGGTTCAGCCTTAGGAAGCAGAACGTGCTTCTCATGGAGACAATGAAGAAAAAATGCCCCGTTTTAGAAAATATGTAAGCCAGCTAACAGGAGCTCTGTGGTCTGCGGTGGCAAAGTTCATACCCCCTCCTGGTGAACTGAGACCAATGTACTACCTACTGGGGGGGTCTTTCCTCCCCCCACCTCCAGGCTCACCTCAAGGCATGGATGCAATACACCACGCGAGGCATGTTCTTCTTGTCGTAGATGTCGGTTGTCTCAGGGTGGAAGATCTGCGAGAAGAGGAGGAGTCAAAGCACAAAGGGGACCCTCCCTGGACACCCAGCGAAGGAGTGGGGACCAGAGGCCTTACCACAGGTAGCCCGACACGACTCATGGCGTCCCGCCATCGGTTGATGTTGTCCGTGTGACGGAAATGTAGCCCGCAGGCCTTCAGGGAGGAAGAGGAGAGAATGTTGCCTGTACCAGCCCCACCACGAGAGGTTGGGGCAGGGACCACTCCAGAACTGAGCAGCCCCCAATCTCAGAGCCAGAAGGAAGGCTGGACTCTGTGCATTGGCACTGCTGCCAAGGCTCTCACCAGAGGCTGGCACCCTTTTGCTGGGCACCTGTAAAGCCCCATGCTGCAGCTCCTCCTCCAGACCATTCCGAGCATAGAGATGGAGCGGTCTTTCTTCTAGATCAGTGTTTCTCAACCTCGGGAACTTTAAGACGGGTGGACTTCAACTCCCAGAATTCCCCAGCCAGCTTGCCAGTCCACCCGTCTTAAAGTTCCCGAGGTTGAGAAACACTTCTAGATGGTGAGGTGGACGTGGGAAAAGCCACGTGAATGGGCAGGGATGATTGTGGCAAGGAGAGGGGGCCCCTGGGAGACCCTTTTGCCTAGGATCCCAGCAACCAGCGCCCTGCCCAAAAGTCTTTGGCAGGGAGGAGCAGCCATCCAGCCTTCCAGTTGGGGGAGAAGCCATGGATTGTCACAACGAGCAGAAGGAGAAGGGAGAATAGACACATTCTGGTGGGAAGAACAAGGCTGCCTGGGTGAGCAAGACCTCCCAGAAATTGCAGACCCCTGACCAGAACCAGAAGCCACCCATCTCCCTTGGGGGTTCTCCAGCCTATGGTCTCGCGAGCTTCGTACGAGCACAGCACAATTCTGACCGGCCTGCAGGAGCCCTGGGTCAAGGCCCCTGGCTAGGTCCACCAGCCCCGTGGACTGCAGGGGAGCCTTTCCAAGCCTGTTCCCCACCCCAACCCTGCCTGCAGAGGCACTGGGACCAGCTCTTGGGACAACGCCAGCAGCGGTCAGGGCCCCCTTGGGGGGCGGCAGAAGCCAGAGTCACCCAGGGCAAAGCTAACTAGACCAGAGGGGGACCCTGGCCTGACCCCTGTGCACGAGGCCCCTGCCCTAGACCGAAAGGGCTCCAGGCCCCCCCGAGCCCTCAGCCCCTCACCTGGAATCGGGCCTGGTCAAGATCGTAGATCTTCCCCAAGGGACACACGTCGGGAGCAAAGAAATGCCCGAGCTTGGCCAGGGTGACACCATTTCGCAGACTCTCCTCCAGCTCCGTGGGAGGGGGCAGAGGCTCTTTCAAGCAAGCTTCTATCCAGCTGAGGGGGAGAGTTGGGGGACGGTTACGCCTCTCCGGTCCCAGGCATCCGATCAATGCTCTCAGCAGCCCCTCGCCAGTGCCCTCAGGAGACACCCACCCCGACCTGGGATTTCGGGCAGCAGCGCCAGCAAAGCCCCCTCCTCCCCACTGGACAGAATTGTCCAAATACCCCCCTCTTCAAAATTAATTTTAGTGGCTGACCCTCCAGGTCCTGTGGCCAGGGGGAGGAGGAGGAGATGTCTTTATCCACTTTACTTGTGAACATACAGACACCTCCCCACACGTGGCTGGCTGGGGAGTTCTGGGAGTTGAAGCCCACCCATCTTAAGGTCGCCAAGTTTGAAAAACACTGCTCTAGTGGATCCTGTACAGAGGACCTCTAAGGTTTTTTCAACTCTGTGCTTCTCTGTGGCTCTCCAGCCTCTTCAATCACTTATGATGATGATGCGTCTCCAAGTCGTTTTTGACTCCTGGCGACCACACGGACGGATTTTCTCCATGACAATGGATCACGTATATTTCGGGGGAATCCACCACTTCTCAGGATCGCTGGCTTTGGTTTCGGGGGGGGCAGTCTTTCAAATACAGGGGGCCTCCCTGGGAAGGAGAGTCCTGGGTCCTCTTCCACCCACCCCGAAAATTGTCTCACCGCTTAGCCTCCTCCAGGTGGCAGAGATACTGGTAGGCGATGTTCTGATGCCTCCTCTCATCCATTTCCTCTGCTGTGAGACGTTCATCTGTGGAAACCAGAAAGAACTTCATCCCCAAGACCACACTCCAGGAGGTCCGCAGCTGGAACTCCTTCTGCTGATTCTCTCCTTCCATCCCCAGAGATGGCATCTAAGAGATGCAGCAGCCAAAGCCTCAGAGGAGCCCAAGACCCCCTACCCACCCTTGCTCCCCAACCCCCGGAACTGGCTGCAGCTGCTCCAGGCGACGGTCCTCCCCACCTCTTCAGCGCACTGTGAGGCAGGGCCTCCCTGGATGCCTCCGCGGGTCGAGGTTTCATGAAGAAAACTACCGCTCCAATTTCTAGACATATTTTAATCATAAAATTCTCTCCCCCACACATCACAGTGACTGACTTCTCTTCCAAGAAGCCCTAAAGGTTGCAGTTTCACAACATATCCCATCCCTTGAGCACTCAAGGTTGTCTGTTCCTGCTCTACAAGATGCTTTGGAGAGATGCAGCATTCCTTGGGTCCTTCCGAGCCTTGTTTCTAACTCCACTTTGTGGAAGCGAGAAGTAGCAGCGATTCCACATTTGGACAAGGAGCCACAGAGGACCCCAAGCCTGGGTAAGCAGGCACTGCCTCCAGTCCTGCTTCACATATCACGTAAACTGCAAATCGCCCAACCTGTTTCCTCCCCACCACTGACCATCTCTCCGGCCTCCAACCTTCGCATTGTCTAAGTAGCCCCCCCCCACAAGACCTCTTGCATCCTCTCACTTCAAATCTGGCCAACCGGTTTCCTCTGCCCCAGTCTCCTCCAGTTCTAAGTCAGGGTATTTTAATTTCTACCACAGTAAACACCCTATTTTAACTTATCACACTGAACCATGATTTGTTTTCCACATGATTATATTGTCCATGATTTGTCATCTTAGGCAGAAACTGATTTTAATAACCTGCAGATTATAGCAAAGAAGTAGCAGTTCTCCAAATTTGCCAAGCAATATGGCTGTGGGCATGTTTGTTCTGATCCCTCGCCATCTGCAAAGTTTGCCTCTGTGTATGAATGGAGAATGCCCCGCAATATAAGGATATCAAGGAAAGGGATTCCTGAATTAGGAGCAAAAAATTAGCGGAACGCAATTTCCTTGACATTGCATCCAGCCAAGCTCCCCCTTGGGAGCTATGGATCACACCATTTTTATTTTATTCAAACAGATTTGCCTCCCACCTTTCCTGCAGGAGCTCCAGACAGCTAGGACCCCCTCCCACGTCCCCCAGAACAACGACCCTTGAGGTAGGCTGGGCTGAGAGAAAGCTAGGGGTCCAAAATCACCCAGGAAGCTTGTGTCGCTGAGGGGGACTTGAGCAAGGTCGACAGTTTGCCTCTCGGGTGGCCTTCACACGTTGCACAAAGCCACAGCGCGTTCTTGCTGGTTTTGGCCCGGTGTGTGAACCCAGCCATTACGGCTCAGTCAGGAACCACGGCCAGGTAACTCGCAAGTGAAGCACACCCGAGCAAGCGTGCGGGTCGACTCGCTTTCTCGTCGACTCGAGTCTCTGGACGCTTCAGGCAGAGCGTGTGCACGGAGGCAGCCAGACCAGCGCGTGCAACAATTTACAGCTTAGCCCTCTCCAGAGATCGGAACAAGGCGGCTCCGACCCTGTTCGTTCTTAGTCTGCCAACCTCCAGAGAGTCGAGAACCGCGTAACGTTCCCCGGGCCCGGAGCCGACCCGAGGAGG